ATATATCTATATATATACATACATATATATATATACACACATATATATTATATATATATATATATTAGACATTTTAAAATATTTAAATAGACATTTTAAAATATTTAAATTTCGACACGCTTACACTGTCTTTATTACAAAGTGTCATTAACAAGTCAACGTGAACCCTTTCCTTAAATTCTTATTTACAAACGTTCTAAATTTTTTATCAGCACAATTTAGATATAGTTTATATTACGATTTCTTTTGTACTGCCAGCATTATTATTTTTAACTTGATTAAATGATTAGAAAAATAAAATCAATGTTCATCATGAAGGTCATCAGTCTTGCAGAACTGATATCGTTTCCATAGCGATGACCAGAGGCAATACCTTGCCCTTGAAGTCCAGTGAGGTCACTGATGAGGTCATCAATGACAAAGAAATTCTAAAGTAGGAATCTCAGTGCTTCAGTCAGGATTCAGACAGCTTTCAGAAAAGAAATTGCGAACAACAACGATGTCTTGTTTGAACGCACTCATACCTTTCTTGATACCACTGGGTTGGGGCGTAGGATACGCCGTTTGCGCTGCCATGAATGACTTATTTGATTATCGCCTTCCTGAGGAGGACGAAGGAGGTTGTCAGGACTTGCCGGATTCGAAGGACTCACGGGACGTTGAGGATTTTGAGGAGGAACAAACCAACCCGGCTGGGGAGGTTTGTTCCAAACCAACGGACATCTTAGGGACTGTAGAATTAGACCCGATCGTGACCCTACCAGAGAGTACCGCAAAAAACGGTACAGTCTCCAGACAAACTGACCCGGCTGGGCAGGATTGTCATGAACCGACGGCTCCGTGTGCTGTTTGTGAGACAGCAGACGGAGACCTGCCAGACTCAGTTAGTACTGAGTCTGGCAGTACTAACTTTGAGCAAACCGACCCGGCGGGGGAGGTTTGCTCAAAGTTAACGGAAGACCTTGTGTGCCAGAGACGAGCCGCAGAAGCATCTGCCCCGGCTGGGGAAGATGTAACTGCGGCCAACCTTGCAGCCCAGGTTTTTGCTGAATTCACAGCAGAAGCCTTGGCTTCAGTGGTCCCAGCTCTTAGTTCATCACCGAGGTCTCTGAAAGGCACCGCTACCAGAGTCTTTGAGGTACCAAGTTCCCTGGCTAGGGAACTTGGTACCTCAGAGGCACAAAAGAGGTCTTTCAACGGTAGGGTCATGATTTCTTTCGAAATTAACAGTTTACCAGACGAGGATCATAATTCATAAGAGAGGGTCGGGTTAGACATGATAGATTGAGGGAAGTGGATGATTTTTAAGGATATTCTTGGGTGTGTTGTGGAGGAATTGGTCCACACACACCAAATATTGGACCATATTCCTGTCGGGGGTGGACAAGGATCGATTTCAGTGAGTTTGGTGCAGCGCGGTCAAAACATGAGTGATAGGTTTAAATTAATAACTTGCATTAACACTAATCATTGTCCTTATGAACAGTTAGACTGTTTAGTTGTTCTAGAATGTGTGATGTTTCTAGAGGAGCAGGAAGCGTGACAAATTGTAAACATATGCCAGCCGCCAGAGAACTGACCTGGCAGGAGTACCTCAAAGGCTAGGTTAAAGTTTATTAAGGCAAAAAGTCCATCTTTTTTGATAATTTTTAACACCCCATGCCTTAAATCCCTAGGAGGACTTTGTTAAACTTTGACATGAGTAAAAGTTAAAATCAGGTAAAATTTGACATTTGACCCAAAATGGCCGCCTCCCTGTCAATGATCCCTGTAAGCTGCGCGCATGCGCAATCGCGCACTGCTCACATATTCTCAGCGCACAAGAAAATCTATGTAGCGCATAAAATAAAGTCCAACGTAAAGTGGACATTGAGCTCAGACATCAGTTTTGACTATGGACCAATATTTTTTTTTTTTCCGTACTACTTTGCGATCGAACTCAGTGAGTGACAGGAATCCAGCCAATGATACGATACGGTTCACTTTTGCTACGCAGCCAATCAGCGCATCCTGATTGGCTGTGTGTACGTGGGTTACGTGCCTTGGTCATATGCAACGTGCAGGTGAGAATAGGCTAAGTGTACAACCAGTGGAGAAGTGAGAAGACGTGAGAAGCGAGAAGGGCAGACGTGAAAAAAACTGTAATTAAATATTTTACAAGAATTTATACTGGATCACAAGCTACAGAAAACATTTCATTGTGCAAAATGTGAATGTTTTAATATGAACAAACATTTATGTCTGAAAGGTGTAATGTCTCATTTCTCACCCTGGCTGAAGCAGGACTCTTACTTATAGCATGCATCTCATGAACAGCAATGTTTTCTTTTCTTTTTTATTTTAATTGAGCAAATCACTTAAATTAAAAGCAAACAAATGAAAATTGCTGATGTAATTTGATTCTTTTAATAAGCCATGCAACTTTCTATGATCCCAGATTTATGATACTTGTGCGTGGCCACGCCGTGTACACTGATGATGCTCACAGTGGTCCTCAGTGTGTCCAGGAAGCTTGTGTGTACGCCCAGACACATGAACAATTAGAGGGAACATTGGTCATCATAACTGTTTTATCAAAAACAGTGCTCATCAGTTAGTCAAATGTAGCCATGCTATTTTTAAAATTTTACTATACAATCCTTAGGAGTTGTATTTTGTTTTTATTCATTCAACAGAGCATTGTATCACACTTTAATTTTTTTCTCTTCTTTTGGTCTTTGAAGTAAAAATGCCAAGTTTTAGTGTGTCGGTTTACTTTTATTTGCTCTTCGTGGCTTAATTTATACAGTTACTGTGCATTACTTATGATGGAGAAGAACTGGAAGAATGTCTCTTCCATCTATTCTAGCTGTTTTGGGCAGCTTTTTGGCAGCTACAGCATTCCATAATTTAAGTAACTTCACTCATGTAACGAAATTACTGTTCAGAATGCCTCGACTGACTTACTGCACTCACCTCTTATTGTTCGAGAAAAGATCGTCTCTGTCTCGTCGTCATTCAGGAAGCGCAGCGCCACACGCGCGGTGTCGGACACCGGCTTCCCGATGTGGGCTCCGTGGATCAGGTCCCGCAGGTGCTTCACCCGGAGAGAGGCGACCCTCTCCCCGATGGCGAAGCTCAGGGCGTCCATCACATTGGACTTACCTTGAAGCGATTTTACATACATTAAACAATTACAATATCTCAATAATATAATAGTACATTTTGGTTGTGTACATAAGAGTACACAACCAAAATGGCCACTGAGTAACATTAGAAAAGAAGAAAAAAAAGTCTGTTAACAAGTTTAGCTAGCATGTTTATTTTCTCTCTAAATTATAGTCCTTTTAAATCCGACGCTCTAATTTGGTGATATGTTATCTTCATACTTTTGATAAAAGCATTAACATCACTTTTATCAAAATAAACTGAGCAGGCCAACGTAAAACTTAACACAAGTTCAACATGACTTTAAACAAGCTAACAGTTTGCTAGCTGACGTGCTTTGCTAGCGAACACGAAGGTTAGCTAAGTATTTAAAGGTTCACTTACCGGAGCCATTTGTGCCTATAATACAATTAAATCGCATGAAAGGTCCAATGACTTGCTCCCCACGCCATGACTTGAAGTTTTCGATGTCAATTTGTTTGAGATAACCCATGTTGGTCCACGGTGCATCCAGCAGCTAAAGTATCTGCGCCACAACCCGGTGAAGAAGACGGAGTGTCAGAGGCGGGAAAACAAACATACCTTTCGAAAAAAAACACTGTAATTACAAAAGTTGCTAGGCTTCTAAAGTTATGGAAAGCTCCTGTACCGAATGCAGTCCTCTTGCAAATCTCGTAATAGGCTATTTACTTGTTTTACATGTAACCCCCTGGGTTCCCAGGAATATATTTATATGTTATTGTTTTGAAAAATAACAAACTTAATGTATGCAACTTAATATCATAAAATAAGATATAATAATTTCCAAGTCTTTTGGTAGGAGTTTGAAATGGGCAAGAGTTCATTAAAAAGAAAACAAACAGTTGAAGTAAAAAGTCTATTAAAATATTGTGTTCTGTCACTTTAAGAACGAACAACATTGTTGCTATTGGGCGATTACACTTTTCCTGAATTCTGATTGACTGGGGGGCGGGACTAACCGGAGTACCGAGAGAGAAGAGAGACGACGAGGAAACTGCGTGGAGTTTGCCGGAACGTTTGTGAGCCGTTTTGGGAAAAAACGGGCTAAAAAATGCAACAGCTCAGCTGTGCTTTCGCGCAAAGGGACAGCGGACGGACCGGGGAAGAAGCGGGCGGTGAGCAGGATGCTGGAGGTCTGAACAGGAGCCTGTTTAGTGTCTAAAAGTCGTTTACTGTCTTTTAGTAACTCATGAAAAATACGTGCCTCAATATAATTCAGTTTTTAAAGGCAAAAATAATCTGATGAGGTCGAACAGTAATCTTACAAGAGATAAGCGAATATACACGGCATTCATGGAAAGAGTATATGTCTCAATCTTTTTTTAGATTTGAAGAAAACACACCATACTCTTTACCTTGGTTATTTTGTTTCTATTTCCTTCTAATTCGTATAAAGCTTTTCATAATCGCTGATCCTCTTTTTTTCTCACATTCCCATTTAAATCTTCCTACATTCATTTTTTCTTTTTGTTTCTTAGCGATGCATTTTATTGCCTTCATGTCTGACCCAGAATTCTGTCACTTGGTCCCTTATAGTGAACATCAACAAATGTTTGAATTAAGGAAAAAAAATGAAGATGTCAAGAAGACACATTTAGAGGACTTTTATTTCTTCTCAATGTCGTCATGAACTTTCACCCAGTTAACTTCAAACTTGGCAAAGAGACTGTGATTCAAAGTTGAAAGTACTTCTGTGTTCACAATCATTCAAATAAAACTGAAGGCTTTGATTCAAAGCCCTAAACCTTGACATGCGTCCATCCTACTGGTGCCATAAACCTGATAACAAATGTGTTAAATACAACCTCAAAACACAGAGACACAACAGAAACTGAGGCGAAAAGTAGCTTTATTGGTCCCAGAATCAATAGCCCACTAATAAGGGTGATCACGAACATACTCCATGATGTGCTTCAGGGCTAACCAAGTCTCGGAGGCAGTGGGGATAATCTGATCGGCAGGAAGGATGAAACCATAGCGACCAGTGTCCCTCAGCTCAAAGGCAAAAGAGTATTTGATGCCCACATCATAGGACCAGTCAATGCTCCCACCACTGGCTTGATCTAAGAAGAGAAGAAGAAGATGGCAAACATGATCATACATTAGTAGTAGGGTTTGAAATGTTGCTCTGAGGGAAAGTGTTACTTACAGATGATGTTGCAGATGTTTCCAACCTTGTATGTGGTGCCGTAGAGGGACGTGAGCTTCTGCACTGCAGCACGGGCGACAGAGTCCTGTGCACAAAAGTACAATTGTGTAAAGTATTGGCCAGAAACAATGCAAGTCTTATAAAACGTAGTATGATTTTAACAGCTGAAAGACTGTAAGTATAGGGCTAGGTATGATGGAGTAGAATCAGTTGTGTATCATTCTATAATATATTTTTTAAAATCCACATATTCACAAAAAAATCTAACAATATCTGCACTACTACACTGAAGTTAAGGTGGTTGTTAAGTGGAGTAAACTTTTAGCTTTTGCACATTCCTGTGCTTAAGATCAGTTGACATGTGAAGCGACACAGCTTGCAACCTCAAACATTTGTTTGATTACCTTAAAAATAATATTTTCAACATAAATGTGTAAGTTCAAGGTTTATCTTCAGCGTTCCCTCTCCTGGATGGCTCTAGAGCCTAATTTCATACCAGCTCAGCCTGATCAGCAGCGCTCCTGCAGGTGTAGCCGTACGGGTACATGAGGAGCTGGGAGTAGGCGTGGACGGAGATGAAGGACTTGAAGTTGCCGTGGCTCTGGATCAGGTTCACAATGTTCTTCACCTCGATCTCAGAGTGAGCAAAGGGGCCGTGATAGGCATCAGAGCAGGGATAGGTACTGGCACCGGGGCCTGGAAACAAAAGTTTGGATGGAAACATGCATGGAAATTAGCCTCTTGGCTGTAATCTTACATATTTCCATACTAAAATAATTGATCTGGACTGAAAACAGATCCTGGTTTTGTTAAACGAATTCACGGATGTTGCTGTAGCTGAAAATCACTGACCACCAAATCCTGCATCCCAGTTCCTGTTGGGATCGACTCCGACACACAGATAGCCTGAGTTTGGAGAACGCGTCTTACGCCACATCCGGTCCTGCAAATCACACAGCACCAGTCAGTGTGTATTCCTCTTTTGATGTCAACTTAAAAATATAGCTATAGAGTTCGTCCGTCCATCCATCTATTTTCTTCCACATTATCTGGGGGTAGCAGTTTAAGAGTATAAAGTATTTTATTAAATTCTTTAAAGGGGCAATATAATGTATTTTCCAAGGATATGGTGCCATTTTATAGCACAATCAAGTAACTGTTTACCCCAATTGTGATAAAAATGTTGGGTATTTCAGATACAAAATTTGGCTTTGCAATTTGATGCCTTGAAATTGGGTTTCTGTCTCTTTAAGAAACTCCTGCTCTTTATGAAACTCCACCTCCAGGTCGTCAACGCCACAAGGCTCCTCTATTAACCCTTTAATAACATTTTAAACAGCATTTCACTGAGAAGTAGCTTGTACAATGAGCTCAGTAGATGCACAGTTTATAATCGCTGTTGGCCAGTCTGAAGGAGCCAAGTGGGAGAGTCGTGGTGGAGAGAAGCATGGAAGCTTTGAACCTGCAGCTCAGAGGAGGAAGGTGGGATTAGGTCCACATAGTTTTGCCTATCTGAATGGTTGCCACGGGAGATGAAAAGATTTCTCAAATATGCATGAAAGAATCAAGGCAACACTCCAGGTATGTTTTTGATGAGGGAATAACGTGACATAAAACTTAAGAAAGTAAATTTTTCGTAATACTGCCCCCATTATTTAAAAAACGGAGAAAAGGGAGAGGTACGACTAGCTGTGGGAACACTCAATCTAAATTCTAACAGAAAAACAAGTCATTTGAAGCAGTGGTGGTTTCTTACATTGGTGTGGGAGAAAACATAACCATCAGGGTTGGCCACAATAAGCATGTAAATGTCCATGGTGTTCAGAACCGAGGTCAGGGAGGCATCAGAACCATAATCAGTGGCGATCTGGGTGAGAGCACAATGTACTGATTTAACACAATTATTCATAAACACACCACATGGACCAGGCAAGACTTGTAGAGACCCACGTATCGTCAATGGCGTTTTGTACCTTGTTGGCCGTCCACACTCCAGTGGCCTGAGACACCCACTCCCTGGAGTGAATACCCAAGTCCATCCAGATAGCTGGGCGATTGGTCCCTCCGGTGCTGAACTAAATACAAAGTTAGCAAACATGTTGATTTGAATTAGCTTGCGCAGACACCCTGTTTCAGGGTCTCTGCGCAAGCTAATTGTGTTGTCTAATGAAACCAAAGCCAACAGTTTCCCTACCTTGAGGACATACATGGGTCTGTTCTCATAAGATCTGCCGATTTCCAGTTTAGTCACCAGGTGTGGGTACTGAGCCACCAGTGTGTCCATCCAGCTGTAGATCTGTATGAAGATGGAACAAAACCTGAGACCAAGAAAAACATGTAGCCTGTTTGATAGCACACAAAGGCAGGTAAGGCAATCTTTACAATAGGGAATAAAATGGAAACAAAGGGGGTGAAAATAAATGGTAAATGTTAGTTTTTTTTGTTTGCAGTGTGAAGGCAAATTTTTCATACACCAATGATCTCAAACTCCAGTCCTCAGTGGCCGGTATTCTGCAACTTTCAGCTGGCTCGCTGCTTCAGCACACTTGATTCCAAATTTAGCCTCTTAGCAGAGCTCTGTAGAGCTTGACTGTGCTAGTGAAGCAGCTTCACCATTTAACCCACGTGTTTAGGACCAGGGACACATCTGAAAGTTGTAGGACGCCGGCCCTTGAAGACCGGTGTTTGAGAACGCTGACCTGAAGTGATAGACAATACAAGAAGAACATTTATCACTAAAGGAGGAGAGAAACCCAGAAGGAGCTAGCGCAGATGGGTGTACTCGTTGACTGGGCAGCGATAGGTTCACTCAACAAATCTGACCATTTTGGAATGTTGGTAAGAAGAAAGCCGATGTCGAAACAAAGTCCAGGTTGTTGTTTTCCTCAAGCCATGTAGGGAACACAGTAAACAGGCGCTCTGGTCACATGAGATTAAACTTTAACCTAAAAGTTAAAATGCCATGTTTGGCTAACACTGTCCAACACTGAACACACAAACCGAACAGTGAAACGTGATTGTGGTCACATTGGATTTTGGTTCTTTGTTTTTTTAAAGGGAGACAAAAGAGTGATGTACATGACAAAATGCAAAAAGAAGTACAAATCACGAGCAGTTTCCATGGTCACGGAGACATCTAAAGGAAACATTTCAGCAACAGCCCCAGCTGTGAAACTTTCCCACTCCTTCACATCGTGGAGACATGAAAGTCATTGATTGCAGTTCACAATTGTGAATTTGGAGTTTATTTTAGCAAGAATAAATACCTAAATAAATGATTTGCCAATTTGTGAGTCGTACCGTCTCCAGAGGATGATAGGCTCCAAAGTTGAAGTTCCCGGTGTTGCGCTGCCTGATCTGGTTCTCTCTCATCTCAGCTTTCTCCTGATCGAGCAGCTCCTGAATGTTCAGGGAAGACGATGCTGAGCTCACAGGTGACTCCATTTCACCCTCCGAGTCAACCAGTAGACCTCTGAGGACTACCAACCTGGACGTCGTCAATCATGACAGTGAAAGGGATGCCATGGGCATTCAGGTACTCCTTCACAGCACCAAGGTGGCCACGGGGCACTCGGACATCAACAGGAAGCTCCGTGGACACCGGGTGGCGCCAGAAGTCCAGCTGGAATCAGAGAGTCAGGGGGAAGGAGATGATTGTCAGCTGTAGTTTGTGCACAGCAGCTTGGGTTGACTTACAGATCTACTGTTTTTCCATTTGAAGTGTGGTTAGGAGGACGTGCTTTATGAAGCTAAGTTAGGGCTGTAAAGTTTGTTCAAAAGAAAAAGAAATTTGAAACAAAACAAAAAATGAACTGAAAAGAAATTTAAAACTACATTTCAGATTCAAAGGTTTTTTTTTTTCCAGTCTGAATTTTTATGCTCTTTTGAACAAACTTTATGGCCCCAAACAAATACCAGATGATCCATTCAGAAAATCCTCACACTCTCATGCATGAATAATAGATAATTAATTAATTAAGCTAAAACCCCCCCAAAAGTCAGAAAAAGCTTATCTGTGAATTAACGCCCTAAAGGTGAAACATAAAAAAGTCCAACAGAGAGGCTAAATATGGATGGCTGTGTTGGACCGAGTGAAATGTGTGTGTTAGTGTTTGTTTACATACGTTCCATTTTTCCTCAGACTCCAGAATCTGCAGCAGCTTGATCTGTTCCTCCAATTGAGCGTCGACTCTGATGACCTGGTCACTGAAACACATCTGATCCAGTCAATTTCATGTCTTTTTAAATGGTTGCCTCGTGGCAAATCAACAGTAGGTTAGCAGACTGACTCTATTGATCACCAATAAATAACTGTTCAACACATCACTGTAGATACGTTCTATATATTTAGGCTAGTAGAGGACAAACTGAACCTTTTCCACACTTTTTTCTTCTGCTGCTCTACAATCCAGAAGAGCCCTCCACTCAACTCCTACAGACTAACCAGCAGCAATTAGCAAACACCCAGCGACACTGTGTAGATGCTGATCTCATTATACCAGATACTTCTCAGTGCAATACAGGCAAAAATGTTGTGAAAGGGTTAATAGAGGAGCCATGTTGTGATGATTTCCTGAAGGCAGAGTTGCAAAAAGAGCAGGAGCTTCTTAAAGAGATAGAGGCCCAATGTCAAGGTGTTAAATTACAAGGTCAACATTTCTTTTAAGATGATATAGGCTCTATATATAGCTTCTTTTTGTTTGTTTGTTTGTTTTTTTTTGTTTTGTTTTTTTTTTACAACCAAAGTCATCATAGTTATTTCATTGTGCAATAAAGTGATTCTATGTGGCTGGAAAATATTTAATACTGCATGTGTCAAAGTCAAATTTAAGAACTACTTACAGCATGTTGATTCAGCTATTTATTATGAATATGTTAATAGTTTGTTGATGAGTTTTATTCATACATTCTGTTCACGGTAAAATTAAAGCTAAAACAAGCTCCACTGCTAGTTGTAAATGTCAAACTCACCCAGTGAAGAGCCTCTCAGATCTGGCCAGAGACACAAGCACCAGCAGAAACCAAAAACCTTTCATCCTGTCTGGACAGTTCAGGCTGTGAGGCATCGGCTCATCTAAACTCTATTTATCACAGTGGTTCAGGTGGTCTGTTCCCACATTAAAAAAAAAACAAAAAAACTTGAAACAGGCACACCTCTCTGTCAGTCACACTTATCTGCTGCCTGGAAAACAGAAAAAGGAACATGCTGATGAAGCATGGGATTATCTGTTCACTGCCCAGCTGCAGATAGAGCCATGTTACCCAAAGTCATTTGCCAGGTTTGAAGGTTTCAGTTTTTTTTTAAACTGGCATTAATATAGTGAGAACATGTCCTCCCATATGCAAGGAGCATCAAAGCTGCGTGTGAACAGAATATATTGGAAAGAAACCCGTAGCTTTGACGGCGAGCATTTCAAGTTCTAATAGCAAAGATGTGAAATCTTGCACTCAGATTGAATATGATCTTGACTTTCGGCAATTCTTCCATACATCAGGTTAATTTTAGTCAGCAGTAGGTTTGCTATTGGAACTCTTCCATAGAACCCATTTTTGCTCATTTTTTTGTACTCTAAATGTCACATATATCAAATAAGACTTAAAAGAAATTTGACTTCTCAATTTAACACCTTGAAATTGGACCTGTGTCTCTAAAAAAGTCAGCCTTCAGAGAAGTAGCTTGTACAATGACCTCAGCAGATGCACAGTTTCATTAGGTGTTTGCTAATTGCTGCTGGCTAGTCTGAAGGAGCTGAGTGACAAATTACAATTTGTGATCTCCCACAATTACAATTTACAAAACTTGTCATCAAAACTTTAGAAATAGTTTAAAACAGTGCACCGTTATATTCACAACATGACATTTTTTTTTTTTTTTTTTTTTTTTTTGCCAGAAAATGACTTAGACAAAAAAAAAGAGACTTAGGTCATTATTTTAGGAAACTGTCAATATCTAAGATTGACTAGAAAAAAAAGTTACAATACACCTTAGTGCCACCAGAGGGAGACAGATTTACACTGTGCCTTAAAATTGAATCAAGAACATTTCGACAGGTATTAAACATATATTCATCACTCCATATCTCTGTATTACATTTTTTTATTTCCATCCATTCATTTTCTGTGCACCCTAGTGGGGTTAATGCTGGTACCTGGAGAGAACCACTCATGCACACGCAGAACATGCAAACTCTGTGCAGAAAGACCTCAGGCTGGGAATCAAACCCAGGACCTTCTTGCCGCAGGGCAGCAGTGCTACCAACTGCTCCACTGCGCAGCGTACATTTTTATTTATTTATAAATGTGGTGTTTATTTTTTAAAGTAGTCATAATTAACCAAAATAAAGGCCTGTGTAAATAATTAACATAAAGAATGTGTTTCACTTTGGTGAGTTACTGAAGTTGGGGGGGGGAAACACTTTTTAATGGATTGAATGGTTTTGTACTACTAAGATTGTTTTTGCTCCATTAGAATAGATTCATTAATTATATGCACAAAACAGCCAAACAATTTAATGCATGAAGGATTTTCACCATAAAGTGCCAGGCTCATGTTACAAGCTTTAATAAAATTCATCCACTCCCCTCGTGCTCCTCCAACCCCCCAAAAAAGATACTGCAGAGGAACATTTAAAGTAATTATTGAGCCTAGTGTCAGTATCTCTGAGTTGCACCTACTGAGCACTTTTCAGGTGGAAAATCACACCTTAGTTTCAACATGCTGAGAGCTGACATTTTAACAGCTAAAAAAAAAAAACATCTGATAGCTCTTTATTAATGAACTCAAATAAACTGAAAGTAATCTACGCTGAGAAATCTTCAAGAGTTTGTTTCTGTCATGACATTTGATGTCTGAACCACGACTGGGAAGCATAAATAACTTCCTCACAGCAGGACACAGCTCAGGTAGAAGAAAAAATAAAATGGTTAGCAAAGAAAATTAGGTGTAACTCTCACACGATCTTAAGAGACAGAGCTCGTCATTTGAGCCCCACAAGCTTTTTACCTTGTGCGCGGTCCAATGGGGTTGCACTTTTGCTAGTTTTGTGTTTGTGTGTGTGCGGTTTCGGGAACTGAAAGTCTGACAGGACATTCCCCAGCTATCCGACCGTGACATCTGCTGCTCTCCTGCTGAGCGTCACACTAAGACCAGGAGGGTTAAAAACATAGAAATCAAGAAACACCATAACTATAAATTTATTTTAGTCCAGGGAAGTCATCTTTGCTTTTCTGATATCTGTACCAATTCTAGATCTGAACGATCTGAAAAGAGTTAGAACTTTTGGAAGCATTAATCAAGCATAACTGTGAAATAACTTTTCTGCATTTTTGGAGAACTTAGTTAGAAATGGCAAAAGTTTAAGGAATATTTTAATCTCTCGTGCAAAACTCCTAGGTAGACCAAACGCTGCCTTCAAGCTCTTCCTCAGAGCTCCAGTTTCAAAACCTCCGAACTTCCGCTTCACAGAGCAGCCCTGCCCCAGGACTCCCACACTCAGTTCCTTCAGACTAGCCAGAAGAAATTAGCAAACACCTGGTGAAGTCTGCTGAGCTCATTGTACCAGCTACTTCTCAGTGAAACGCTGATTTAAAAAAGCCATTAAAGGGTTTACAGAGGAGCCATGTTGTGAAGAGCTTCAGAAAGAACAAGAGTTTTTAAAGAGACAGAGGCCCAAGGTCAAGGAGTTAAATTACAAAGTAAATTTTTTTTTCAGCGACATTTGATATAAACAGCATTTTTTTTGTAACATTAGGCAAAGCAGTGAATTAACTATAAAATGACATCATGTGCCTGGAAAACTCATAATACCACCACTTCAAAGTTTGCTTTGAGTTGGGAATTAATGAAAACATCTGCTGGATGGTGTGAGGCGACCGCCTGCTTTCTCCCCCATCAGCTGCCATGATCCTCCGCCAACACCCCCCTCCTTCTCCTCAGAATCATTAAAAAGAGGTTTTAGCATGTCACTTCCCCTCCCTTTCACTTTCTAACAATCTCATGAGGCAAAGTGAGAGGAGAAGGTTTAGTAGGCGTAGGAGGCCACAGGGGATGCGCGGGCCTGGGGGGCTGGAGGAGGGTGGCAGTTCAGAGCAGGGACTTTCCATCTGTTTCCCAGTGTGGAAATAATTTATTCCATTTTCCTTTCTGTGTATCTAAAAGTTTAATACTCCCCATGAAGAGTGGCCGAACATGCAAATGTGGGTGGAGTGTTTATTTTTGCCCATCTTTTGTCCCATGTCTTATGCCTCTAAAAGCAGTAAGAGTGGAGAACCTCCTACACCCCCCCCCACACACACACACACACACACACACACACACACACACACACACACACACACACACACACACACACACACACACACCACCCAACAGCATGTTCCACATGACTTCCTCTGTGCTAAAAATAGACCCATTTACATTGCATTACACGCCTGAGCTGTCTCTCAATATTTCAGAGACTCACCGGAAAATTGACCATTAATCATTTATCGCCTGTACTTGCGCATCTCGATTTGTGCGCGCGGTGCACGGTGTCGATGTCGATGCAACATGGCGGCTCGCAGTCAGTCCTCTCGCGTCTGCTTTTATCCTGACGTGGTTCGTCCATTTAAATGCAATCTGCTGTCCGTTTGATGCCACTGCTTGGTGTATGGAGGCGACGCGGCTGCCTCGCTCATATATTGGCCAACTGAGCCTGGTCATGTGATCCTCCCCTCAGTCCAGCCTGGCGGTCAGATGACAGAAAGGGTCAGCTGTGAAAACTGTCCCCCCCCTGATTCTGTCTCCACACTCAGAGCTGGGCTTTAGTAAAATAACTCACTTGCGTGTCAAAGGTTTGATTCCTCTCATCACCTTCCTCTGTTGTATAATACATGCACAGATGAGAGGTTGAGCTCTCAGATTAAAGTGCTGATTGGCAGCCGTGTTGAATGCAACTTTGCAAACCAGACTGTTGTGGTGCAGAATGAGCAACGTGGTGAACCTTAACCCAGCATCGTTTCTCGGAGTTTTGTCCACCAGGGGTCACACAGACTCCATCACTTTTCTTCTGTTTTACAGTGGCTTAAAATCCCCCCAAAATCTACAAACGGCTGTTTTTTTTGTTTTTTGAAAAGAAAGAAGAAAAAAAAAAAGACAATTTATCCTCGAAAAACAAGCAAAAACAAAACAAATACTTTAGGGGTGAAAATATAACACTGAAAACATGTGTGACACCTGATGCGCAAAGACTAGTTGTGAAAAAAGTATTTGCCTCATGTTTATATTCACGTGTTTCTGCTGTAAATCCACAAACAACAGCAATGTGGACGGCAGAGCCACTGGTCCACTGGGGTTCATTTTTGCTTTCAAAAAAATGATCTGATTGGATGCTGGAAATGACTGTTGTTGTGCTAAAGGAGTTGGTCTGTCACTGAAGCTACTCAAGCCTCTGTCCTAACATCTCTGTCCTAAACATGCAGCAGGACAGACGTCCCCAATGTCAGCGTCCGCTGTCCACATCTCTGAAGAAGTCCCATGAATAATCAGGAGTTCCTGAAATACTTCAAAGTTGAGGGGTTATACTAGTACTTTGAACCAATCTGATGGTTGAATAACCTAAACAATAGATTAAAAACAATCAGTAGATTTGTTGTTGAGTTCATACATATATTTGTTCAATAATTTAGCAGCAAAACGTTGCTTTCTATTTGTCGATAAATGGTCTTTGGTTAAAGTGCAATTAATTACAGATCCTGAAATGAACTTGTTCATGAATTCAAATGGATTTCCACAGCTAAAAATAAAACAATGACACGTGAATTTAAGGTAAATTCTTCTGTAAAGGATGCAGACACTTGGTCAAAGTCTTTTCTGCTCTTCTGCATTGCTTTAAGTATTGGTTTAGCCCAAATACATGTGCATTGAAAATCTTTGGGGAATGAAATATGATGCATGTCTCACATCAGTGACGTAAAGTCAAATGAAATGACTGTTTGGACTTGAAAACAACCAGATCCAATTGAGTACCACCTATGGAAGTGGCATAAATAAGACTTTTTAGGGGGTCAAGAGATCAAAGTTGGGCCATTCATACTACCGCATAAAAGTTGGACATAGGTTGCATGTGGACAAAAATACATGTGTTGGATTAGGCTTGTTGCCTTTTTCTTTAACTAAACAGAAACACACTGAATTCCACAGCATATCTACATGCTAAAGTTGTCAAAGTCAAGCTAGCATCACCGACCTACTTCCCTCTCCTTCACTATTTTTTTTCCATTAAGACTTTTCTCTGACCTTGTTATTTTGTTGTCAATTAGTAGCAAACCACTGCATCCCTTTTTCATTTCTGTATCAGAACTTTTAAGATTCAGGGCTTTATGTTGACAACTTGACAGCTAAAACCAGAGATCATCACTGGCAGCAGCTTTCTGCCCTCCAGCAGGGACGTGTTTACAGAGGCAGAAAAAATATGATGACAGTGAGCGTGTTCTTGAGGTATGTGAGAAGAACAGAATATTTTTACTTTATTAATATATGACCATTTGATCAATTTCAGCCCACTGTCCGTCTTTTAATCAGTGAGTGGAAAGGACTCAAAACGCAATCCAGTGAAGAACCGAAACTTTCATTAGGCATCCCACGTTTTTCCACGACTGTGAATGGAACGCCATGAGCAAGTCCAACATTTGGCTTGGACAAGTGAACTGCCTCTCATCGAGTGATGGCTTTCACTTGGTAAGTTTAAGGAAAATGCAAACGTGCCGTTGTCCTGCGTACAAGAACACT